TTGTATCTAATAAATGAATGGTCCTATATTTGTAATTGTGGTATCATTTTGAAAGTGTTATGAAATAAAAATACTCCATGAAAGAAAATCAGAAAAATTTGATTATTGTCAAATTAATTGCACTTTGAATTTTACATTGAAGTCTATGGACAATGCATGTGTTATTGTAAAAAGTAATTTGAATTTCATAAAAAGCTCTTGGTGAAAATATGCATACACACACTCTCTCTATTAAAATATGAAATAAAATTAATCAATTACCGCAGATATTTTGACGAAATTAAAAAAAAAAATTCTTTGCATCAAGGGCAGATAACTCTTCAAAAACTTTTAAAGTGCAAAATGACCAGTTTCTTATATGTTATCAGTCATGTGAATTTGGTTCATTTCTTTTTCATCGTTATCTAGCAATGCATTTTCAACTACAATTCTTTATGATTCAAAATCCCTTCATTATACATTAAATACCTTAACATGTCACACCACTCTCTCTCAACCTTCTCTCTCTCCCCTCCTCACTGTCAATCACTTTCCCTCCTCACTCACACACTCTCTCTCTCTCTCCACCGACTCATTCGGTCACACTCTCCTCCTCTCTCCCCGACCCACTCACCTCTCTCTCTCTCTCTTTCCACTGACTCACTCCCTTTCCAATCTCTCTCTCTTTCTCCCCACTCCCCTTTCGCTCGCTCTCCCCAGTCACTCTCTCTCCACTCATTCTCTCTGTCCACTCCCCTTTTACTATTCGCTCACTGTCTCTACTCACTCTCTCTGTCTATCTCTCCCCACTCAATCTCTCCATCTCTCTTTCCTCTACCCCCTCCCCTCTCCCTATCTCTTTCTCTCTATCTCTCCCCACTCTCTCCCTCTCTCTTTATTTTTTTCTTTTCCGTCTGCCTCAGTAACACTTTTGCCTTCTAAAATAAATTATATATATGCCTGATACATATATGTTTCATAGTTTTTACAATAAAAAATAATGGGGAAAATACTTTTTCTAAAACAAAGAGAAAATTTTTATCGTTATTTAAAATAAATTATAAAATGTTTATTCTTGATCTTTTTACTTTAAAATGGATTTAGCAGAAATGTTTATTCATGCAAAAAATGAATGCAATTTAAAATTATACGGGCGATAACTTCACACAACAGAAAACACTGCTTCCCAGTTCACAATTAGATCATTGCGTTGTTTGTTTGCGTATTTAATGAAGAAGAATTTTATATGCTTGAAGAACAATACTTATATGTTTACTAACATGCAAGGAAGATGATATGTCAGCTTGAAATCCCAATTAGATATTATTTATTATTTGATGTACCGTTATGAAAATAACATGTATCTTAATTATCCACATGCATAGAGGAGGCCTATAAATTATTCTTTATTCGATCAAGTATGTAATATGGGTTTGACATTCACTTTCCGTTTGCCTTGCATGCATTCAGTTTATTTATATTTTATATTTTTATAATTTTTGTCCAGTTCAGATATCGTGTCATTGGGTTGAATGTTAGCCAAAATGCATATGCATCATGACCCCCTCGTTGTTCTACGCATTACCCGGTATGTCATATTTTCTCATTGCATATGAATGTTCGTTTGCTGCTTTATTCAAATGCGTACTGTTAATAAAACCCACATGTAACCTTGACTTGTTGCATGGTTCTACTCTACAAACCATAGCTTTTGAATGGACAGTGTTAAATGATTTACCGTTGGGCCATCAGTGTAATTTGAGTAAATGTTCACCTTATAACAGGTCTTAGCCATGCTTCTGGGAAAATTACAATCAATCCATTAAGCAGAAGAGCCTTTCAATAAAAAAAAAAGAGAGCCATTCAAAATTGTGTGCTTAAGGACAGACGATACGTTCCTCAATAATATATAATTTTTTTCAAGATTTTGTCATTAAAGTATTGCTACTTTAACATGTTTGTTCACAAAAAATTGAGGTACCTTACCAGGCATTTATGCAAGATACCAGAGGGTAGTTTTTCTTATATAATCCATTTGGAAAAAAAATAATTTGCAAATATCAAATTTTTTTGTGTTTGGATTTTTTAAGGACAATTAGAAACTGGTATAGAAATCAGAATGTAATTAAAACTTTGAATATTTTTCATACATTACGAAGATATACGTAACAGATATTTGAGGAACGTATCGTCTGACCTTAAAAATTGTTACAACATTGCCTCTGTCGCGCATACCGCCCTCCTCAAGTCATGTAACGTTAAAGAGATAAAATTTGTAAATCTTAATGAATTTAAAACAACCTGCATTACAATGCACATATGCATTATGTAAATAAAATCCTTATAAGAGGATTTTCGGTGAAAGGAAAGATTTCTTTATACTTTTATCCTAAAAACCCTCTTATATTTTTAAACCTCGTTTCAGACAGCATGCAAGAACGCTTCATTTGTTTATAGGAAAGATGTACATGGCCAAAAGGGATTTCTTTCCTATATGCTACTAGTAAATATAAAGAGTGGGTTACAACCCCGTAACCACTTGAAAACTCGCCACTAAAGATACGCTTTATATGAATCTCGCATGGTACTTGATTCTAACACAATGTGTTACAATACTTTTTTTGTACATTTCTATATTTTTTGCACACGTACGCAACTTCAAATGTGCTAATATTGCCAATCATACTCAGGAGAAAAATATGTAAATTTGACTGAGAAGCCTTTTTTTCATAATGCAACATTCTGTTTTTTCTATTGGTAATTTTTTTTTAAATGTAACTAGAAAGGGGACCTTGTATAAACTTGTGTCGATTCTTGGTACACCAAACACCTCTTTTTTTAAGCAATCATTTTTTTTTATGTAAAAAGCCTCATTTTGTTAAAGACTTTGTTAATTGACACTAATGAATATACGACAAAATTAAGACATTGGTAAAGATTTTGAGCTAATCACTTTTTATGGCCCTGATATCGAAGGTCAGAGCCATGTTGATTTAGTTCTGTGTTATTTTAATTTTTCACAAATCTTCCCTATATTTTTATGAGAAGAAGTCTGAGACTTTATTCATAGAAAATCAAAGATATTTACGAGATCGATTTTTTTTTAATCAGTCTTCCATTTTTTTCATTCAAATTTATTTGGGTAGGGTTCCAAAACGTTAACCTTTCTTATGACTTCTAAAGAAAAAAGGAAGACTATATTTTTATTTGTTGCACGTTATTATCCCAGAATATTTACATTTGCCAATGTTTTCTTTTATATAACACTATTAAAAGCAACGCATATCTATATCCGTATAAACACGGGTTCCTCGCGTCATAAACGTTCGACGTAATTTCTCAGTGACGTCATAAAGGGTCGACGCACAATCAATGGATCAAATGCGTGCCGTTGAGTTTAAAAAATAAAACATTTCACGAGTTAAAGATTATAATCAGGGAAATATAAAATATGAATAAGTCATAAATGTAAATATAAGTAATAATGTATCATTTTTAAACACCTATCTGGATATAATTACGGGTTGGTACTAGATCAAATTTACCATAAAGCCCTTCGGGCTCTATGGAATTTGATCTCGTGACCAACCCGTATATCCCGATAGATGTTTAAAAATGATACATTATTTCTTAAGTAAAATCAAAGAGGATTACAATTATGGAAGCTATACGTTTATGAAAGCTGTACATTTTTTTTATTTATAAGTGTCTCTTTCTTACACGGGCTAAGAAAATGATCTTGATTTTTTTAAAAATAATTACAACTGTGGAAACTTATTTAATTAAATGTGATAAAACAAATCAAAGAATATACGACCATTTCCTGCTTTAATAGTGATAGAACATCATTATAGCCTTGTTAAGCTTTCCTTTAATTAGATAGAATGTTCTATCGTTAAAATGATGGCCTGTCCACATTTAGATTATTCTAACTATCCTTTAATGGGGATATTACATCTTGTATTATTAATGTAAAGTATATTATTATACCTCTACTCTTATTACTCTGTATAAAATTAATACCATAAAACTGTCTATTTCCCCGAGAAGATACTATTTCCCTCATCTGAGGACTACTCCCTGAAAAATCAGAGCTACTCCCTGGGACTACTCCCTCATGAATATTTATTATTAATTATAACCAATTAAAATGAACAGTGGGCGGAGCGTTCAAGGAATCTCGAGTCCGTGACGTAATGTTATTAGCAGTAACTATGACGTCAAAACATTTCGACATGCGATGTCAAAATCATACTGGAATTTCTAAGCAAAAATAGGACAACGATAATCCTTCGAAATGTCAGTGAAATTATTATTTTTTTTAACAATTTTATTTTTTCCGTATTGATGCATTATATATTTAACAAAATTGGAATCACGTGCATTTTTGATTATTTATATATATAAATGCCTCTATATTGTTTTAAAAATGTCTAAGTCTCTAGTTAATAAATCTCCTTTGTTTGTTTCGGTATAATAAAACAGTTATGGAATGGGTACTCGGGAAATATCAAATTTATGGTTCCCCTCGGCAAGAAACTATTAGTTTCCTTCCTCGGGGAACCATAAATTTGCTATTTCCCTCATACCCATTCCATAACTGTATAGTATAACCTTTTAATTTTGTCATTTAAACTTTAAAGCTTTTAGAAATGAACACTTCATATCATAAGGCTGTGTGATTTAACCCCTGTGTATTTGCCTAAAAAGAATTTTTACCATGCAGTTTTTTTTTTCTTGCATCAAAAACTGACACCGGGTCATTATTCAACTGTTCAACAGGGTCATTTTTCTACAATCCACATGGAGAAAAATGATCCTAAGGCCATAATTTCTACAAAAAAGAAGGTCATTTTTCTACGTAGAATATTGACCAGGGAGAAAAATTTCTACGTATAAACAAATGATCCCCAGTAAATATTCTTTCTTTTCGTCGTTACACCGGCAGTACTTTCAGTTCTGTGATTAAATGCCTCGCCTACGATATCTCGTAATATGATTGGTCAACAGAAACAACGACCTTCACCTAAATATAAGCACAGTGGTCCGCGCTGCCAAAATGAAGATAGACATTCATAGTCATGTTTTACCTGAGAACTGGCCAGACCTCAAGCAGGTAAGATCAACGGAATGACAGCATGGAATATTTTGGGAAATGTTTAATAATTTTAACTTGAGGGGGAGTATAAAACGAGCCATCAACTTCTCAATAGAGAATACATGCAGTAGGTCTATACTTAGTCACTAAGTGCATTTTCATTAGTGAGAATGCAAATTTCAAAGCATAATTTGTTGATTAAACAGGACACAAAAAGCTTGAAACTGTTATTTAACAAAAGAGATAATTTCCATGTTGGGTTTTTACTGGAACTCTGATCGACGACTTCTGACAGAAGTTCTGTACCAGATTGTAGATCATCAGGGAGCTCTCTCTCTCTCTCTCTCTCTCTCTCTCTATATATATATATATATAATATATATATATATATATATATATATATATATATATATATATATATATATATATATATATATATATATATATATATATATAGGTCCTTGGTATCATTTCATTGTACAGATGCAGCTTGTGTTTAATTAAGTTAACTCATTTCTTTTAGATTTCATTGTAACGTATGACCACATGCATACAACCACAAGGGCTCATTTGCCTCTTTGCAATTGGGGCAAAATATATCATTAAAAAACACACATCTATCTCAGAGGGCCTTGATTTTAGGAATGGATATTGCCAAAAATTCTGTATTACGATATTTCATGATTTTTTCCAAAAATATCATGATAATATGATAATTGATATTTTACCCAAAATTTTTACTATGATTTCAAATGAATTTCCTTAAATTTTCTAAGAATTATATTGTGAAAACATTAACTTCTCTTTTTTTATTTTTATTTATATATTAAAAGCGAGTGCAGTGAGTGGTGCAAAGCTAGGCTTGTGACTGAGAGCTCTAATGACAATGCCTGGGCGAGGAGAAAATTTGGACTACTGCACATTCAATAGAAATTTTTCCGCAGTAACTTTGTACCCACAATGCAACGCGAATGCATCTCACTGCTAACTACATTCTCACGTTAACAACAAAAGTTCATCAAATAATAAACTCTCCTTGATTTAATTGATATTAGAGATAAAGTTTTGTTGATTCAATGTTCTTTGTTTAATTTAGCACTGTTCAAACTTCGATCCTTTTGGTAATGTAACTATATATAAGAAACGAAGTCATGTGATATCACATTCTAGACAATATTCCAAATGTCTTGTGCGGTTTGAAGAGGCGGATCATAGTTAAAACTGAATAGGTATAAAATAATTAATACCCATCTGCGCTCACTCTTACGGTTGCCCCGTCAACATATTAAAGCACATTTGGATGCTAGGATGCCATTGGTTTACTGTTTTACGTCAATTTTTACTGATCACGACAATTTTAATTAAAAAGTTTGAACAAACAATTATTTCCAGAATTTATAATAATGTTCTAAATGCCGGTATTTTAGTCTCTATTAGTATATCATGATGTGTATCGTACAATAAACTATCATGATGATATATCAGTATACTGATAAAACAGCACATCCCTACTGCATTGGTTTAAATCTTGCAAGTCTTGTTTGACAGATTTGTCCACCTGATTTGAAATTATAGATTTTTTTTCTTTAGGCCACTGTTAGTGTACTGCGCTTATAAATGATCATAATGATTACTTTCTTAAAGTTACATTTGTAAATAAACGCAATAAACTTTATTTTATCTTGAGAAGGTTTTTTTTTATTTACAGCGCTATGGATATGGAGGATGGATTCAGCTACATCATAAATGTGCAGGTAAAGCGGACATGATGAAAGATGGAAACTTCTTCCGGACCGTGGAGGAGAACTGCTGGTCACCAGAGGCAAGAATCAAGGATATGGACAACACAGGTAATATCATTAACCATTGCTTATTGCAAGATATTTATGAAATGTGTATAGTCAAACCTCAATATCACAAACAAGGTGGGGCTGTCACAAAAATTTAAAGACTGAAAAGTGTAAGAAAGTGAATTTGAATTCATATGGTAAGCTGGACATATTGGAACTGCATGCACATATATATAGGGTTTGAAAAGATGATGCTTTTTATATACTTAATCATGTTAATCAATTCAGTTGACTATCATGTGTAGCATAGACATAATCATGATAATGTATAATAAAATCTATTTGCAGTCCTGAGCAATTCTGAAATAATGGTACATGTACACATGGTATATGCCAGGTGTTTGATAAGTTGATGATCAATATACCGAAGCTATGCACTTATCCTGTATGCTTGTTTTAGTGATTCTGACGTCTAAAATTCCCCTTGGAATTTGCAAAATTTGACCTTAACTTAGGATATAAATTGCTTGGTCATTAAAAAAAAATCATGCAAGTTTCAAAATTTTACATTATGTTTAATTTGATAATCAAAGTTGTCCAGCGATTTTTTTCTTCCCATTGGGAAAGGGTTTGGTATCGGTTCAATTAAATTGGAAAAATAGCGTCAAAGTAGAACAACGGAAAATTTTCTGGTCAACAAATGAAATTTATTTTAGTTTATTCTAACCTCATTATCTAATACATGTAATAATTGATGTTTCAAAGAAAACACAACAAGTATTCATTGCTTTTCATATCATAAGTGCCCCTTGTTCTCACATTTCTATGCTTTCAAGTTTTCAGAAATTATTGAATGACACTAGACTGTCTACAACATGTGTCCCGCCATACTACCACTGATCTCTACTTTCAATTTAAGAGGAAGCGAAACATTTAGTCAACTCGTACGTTTCATATGAAAAGAAATACAATGTCATCTTAGTCTGTTCCTTGGCAGTTGAATTGGGAATTTGTATTGTCTCAAAACTGGGAAAAATTAATGGTTTTTGGCATTGGGAATGATACAGTAACAGCTTATCGGTACCACTTATATTAGGGAAAAAAATGCTGTACTCTCAAAAATTAGAGAATTTGACTCGGCATATTAAAGTTGAAGGTCATGAAAAGTGTTGAAAATTGATGAGTTTAAACTTCTTAATTTTTGACATGGTTTTAATGATCACTAAATTTTCAAAGTAATGATTCTATAGAATAATATTTTTTTCTTTAATTAAAAGTGAAGGTTGAAATCGACCCTTGTGAGTATATACATGTATATGTAATGCTTATCAATTTCAATTTTTGTTTATAAGGTGTGACAGTACAGGCCCTGTCTACGGTTCCTGTTATGTTCAGCTACTGGGTAAGTGACTAAAATCAGGGTTTAACTTTGGGGAGAGAAGGGGCTGAGGGGGAGGACTCAGGAGAAGAATGTACAACAGAGTGTGCACTTACAGGTACACATAAAAGGCAGAAGCTAAATGCTATGACTTTTTACCTGAAAGCTTACTGTACATGAGGTTTTTTTTATTGCATTTTGTCTGGAGTCTTTCTGTCCTTCCTTCCATCTTCAAACTTTTAACAGTTTTGACTCCTTTCCCCCTCCCCCCTCGAGGGAGCCCATTAGAATACTGTAAATCCATACATGTGATTCTTCCGGCGGGAGACAAAATCTCCCGATATTTCACCCCCCTTCCGCCCCTCCCGATTAATTTTTAAATCTTCCGTGTTTTGAAATTCTTCAAATTAAATATTATTTGCAATATTTTTTTGATCGTGTTTCATATAATTGCTCAGAATGAAAAGAAATTGAGATAACAACGCCAGTGCAATAAATTTTCACAGCGGTAGGCTTCGTATGAATCAACATGAGGTCGTATAATTATGTTGTAAAAATTAGTGATATATCAACTTGATCAAAGACGATTGATGTTTATTACTGAATGCAAAACATTGTAATTAGTTGCTAAAATACCCAGTTGCCATCTTCTAATGCTGCTTTGGTCATTAAAAGGTAGTTATAATGTAGGTCACACTCTAGTTAAAAATAAATCACACTACAGGGTGTTGCTAAAATATACCTGACTCTAATTTGTTTATTTTTTTAGAGGGTACTTTTTTTCATCTGTACATATTCTATTTAAAAACAAATTACTGACATAGAATTTGTTACATAAACCTAGCTATGTTTTACTTCACTTACTAGTTGATATATCAATACTAAATCAAAAATAAAATTTTATCCAATGTTTTAATGATACTGTTAACTCTTAATTAATTTACTAGGAAATGAGTTGATTTCATTTTGAATACTCAGTTTCACGTCATTTGAATAAAAACTTTATCATATTTTTCTTAAAACTATAGACAATAACTTTATAAAATAAAATTTGTAAAGTAATAAACTGGGAGAAGGTATTTTTTTCCTGAATTTTGGGGGTTGGATGGTCTTTTGCGATTTGAAAAAATGTCGATAAAAAATCTCCAGCTTTGAGACCCAAACTCCAGCTGAAAATTTTCAAATCTCCAGTTGTGATTTTTCAGTTCTGTCACATGTATGATGTACATAAAGATAAGTGATGCAACTAGTGGTGTTCCAATCATCGATTATAATCAAAAATTAGTCGATTGCTGGTATAAATCAAGAGCTCGATTACAATATTTTTATTCTGATTAATCAGGTTATTTATTCTATTTTACAAGCATAATTATAGTTTTTAAGCAGAATATTCCAGCCGCGACTTGTCTGTTACCTTATTTCTGTATCATAATGGAGCAGACAAACAGACATTGTATTCATACCCCGGGTTATAACGCTCATTCCCGGGTATGGATGTACTTTGGATTCTACAAAATGAACGAAGAACCATCTGGACTAGATAGAATGTTCTATCTTTAAAATGATATTGTCCCAAAGACTAGGGCTTGTCCAGAGACACAGTTAAATTATTCTAACTACAGCTGGACCGCCACAGAAAGTACAGACCCTAAAACGTGCTACTACACCTCAGAAACGAACCGTACCGTTCCGTGCAAGAAACGAACCGTACCGTACACAAAGCGTACCGTACCGTACACAAAGCGTACCGTACCGTTCACAAAGCGTACCGTACAGTACAAGAAACGAACCGTACCGTACACCAAACGAACCGTACCGTACACAAAGCGTACCGTACCGTGCACAAAGCGTACCGTACCGTTCATGAATCGTTCTAGAATTAATTATGCAAACCACGCCCCCAAAGCTATAGAACCGTGCGATGACCAAATAAGTCAATTTGATTTATTTCTTGCAATGGCGCCCGTGAGAGGAGGATGGAGGTTATCCCTGGCGATTCGAAACACCATTATCACGTATTATGCATCTGGACTTTCATCTGTAAAAATTACAAAACTTCTCGAAACAAATTACAACTTCAAAACAACTAGACAGAGTGTGAGACGATTCCTCATTCGCTATACATCAACGGGTTGTGTTCGTGATCAAAGGTACGTCATTTTCTTTTTCCATATAAAATGCAATATCTTCTAATGTCATGTTCAGTGTATCAAAAAAAATTACTATATTCACCGTTTGTTCACTTTATTTCCTCTTATCTAGAGTACGTAATTAAAAATTTGCTTTGGACGTCCTCGGAACCTAGACAAGTTAAAAGATACATGTACCAAAGAATCCTATGCTTTATACATTTATAAGAGTATAAGAATCGTTTGTCATTCATGTTTATATATAATACAGAAAAGAAATGATTTCGGAATTTAAAATAAAAAAAAAAATAAAAGCTGAAATGTCAAAATTGGCATGTAAACCCTGTTCTCTTTTACAAGAAAAAAAAATAAGCTTCGGTTTAAATAACTGTTGTAAACCGCCTCCTTCCAGAACAAAAAAAAAATGCTGGTTTACACTATTCAAACGGTTGATCCTTACTATTACTGACCTTAATTATATATGTATATAATCTGTCACAAGTTAAAATATATACATCTTTATATGTACATATATATTAATAGTAAAAAGAACTTTATTTTCTATGAATTAAACCGTACATCAAATCGGACTGTGTAAAGACGTAATAGTTTTATTAGTTTTCGTTGTCCTTTTCAACAAAGTCTCTGGTAGATTATGTATCTGATGCTTGGTTATCTTTAATGCATACATATTTTTTTTTAATTTTAACCATGGTAACCGGCATTGGGCCACAGGTATTTGGAGAACCCCCCCCCCCCCCCCCCCCCCCCAGCGTTCTGTACCTGAAGGATTCTTCGACTTTTTTTTATAGAAAATAGTTTTGACACATTCACAAATTATTACAATTGAAAAACCCAGAATATAACGTGAAACTAACATTTTATAAAAATTCACACTCTCTGATACTTGTATAAGCAGATGGAGAAATTTCAGAAAGTGTGAATTTTTCATGGATCTAAGAAAGGGTTTAACTTAGTTTTCCGTTATATTCTGGATTTTTTCAATTGCAATACTTTGTGAATGTGTCATAGATAACTATTTTATATTTAAAAAGTCGAAGAACCCTTGGGTACAGAACGGGGGGGGGGGGGGGGGGGGGGGGTTAGCACCTGTGCATTGTGTGTACTTATAAAAACCATGTTAGATAATTGTTCCTCATTCTACCTCAAATCACCCATACAGAAACTTGAATATATACTTAGCCCAACAATGGAAGTTATACCGGCTGTTTTCACTTTAATTTATAAAACAATCATTAGAATTAAGAAATAAAAGGTCCACATCGGTGTAACATATAAGGAGTAAATTACTTAAATTGCGTCTATTGTATAAATACATTCATTGTTCTTTTTTTCTTATTATGAATTATATTGCTTGACCCATATGGGTGTATTATGCAATAAAGATATTATATTATATTATAATGAAGTTAATCCGGGAAAAATGTCCAACTGTATTCCTTCTTTTACTTAAATAGTCAACAAAATGGCCGACGTCTTTGTAGAGGCCTCATAGACTGACATTGATGAACCTTCTAGCCTATCGTTAAAATGATATTGTCCTACGGACCATGCACATACTAGATCTACATTGTATTCAATTCGTTCGCTGCAGTTCAAACACCGTCTCACGGTTACGCGGTTTGTTGACCCCAGTGTTGACTTGACATGATCATAGTCTCAGGTATTGTAAAAATACAAGTTCCTGTGGGTAAATTGCTTCACTAAGATACGTAGCCAGAATTACTTACATAGTTTTATTTAGCTTTCAAGCAGCTTTATTCAGTCTGAGTCACTAAAATCGTACTTATTTCAAGGCACGGATCTAGGAATCTTGGGAGGGAAGGGGGTTCAACATCAACTCTTCCAAATGTTGGACTTGTAAATTTTTGACAACTGACAAGTAATGTCAGAGTTACTGTACACATTTTTTAAAAGTAAATTTTCTTCAGGTACATGACTCTCTTTTCCATTTTAAGGGAAGTCACTGTTTTACACATGTCCAAACTTCATTATTTAAATCTCTGTTACTTGTACCTTTCTTCACTTCTGCAAAAACATTGACATAACATTTTATACAGGCCATCCATTTAATAATTTAGTTTTTAGATGCTTGAAATATGAAGATAACACATGACAATCAACATGATGAAACTCGGAAGTCTTTTGGAACAACACAAATTTGGAAGCAGAGCAAACACAGACCTCTTTAAAAAAAAACTCTAGACTAAATAAAAGTTAAAAGTTAAATTTAATACCCCTTCGACTATTACACATGTTTATGCTGCCTTACAGGTACATATAATTTTTTAAAAAGAGTCAAATACATATTTCCTGTCAATTCCTGTATAATTTGATAAGTGTATGAATTGTCAAAATCTAAGTGTTTCCTGGGGGCTTTGGCCCTAACAGAGCTTCACTCTTGACCCACACTCTCATATAATATTGAGCATGGACTTAGCTACGGTTCCTACACCACCAACAGTACATGTAATACGTCAGTTGGATGTAGACCTGTGAACTATAGCACTGCCTAACTGCCTACACCATATGCACTAAGATAAAATTTTGTTTTAACAGTAAACCCCGGGCTGTATTATCCAGGAAGATCAAACCCATTCACCTACAGTATGTGAACATGTGGATGGCCAGCAATCCTGAGTGGACTGCTCAATGTGTTAAGGAGAGACTTGAAAGACAGTGTGGTGTTCAAGTTACCAAAGAATACGTGTGTGAAATTAGACGCCGACTGAACTGGTCAGCCAAACATATGAAGTATGGGCAACTAATCTCCTACAAGAATGTGAAGCACAGACTAGACTGGTCCATTGAGCAGATGATAAACAAGGACTCCTTTCAAGATGTCATCTATGTAGACGAGTCTACAGTGGAAAT